CAAGTTCAGGAAATCTTTTGCCTCTTCCTCTTAGTGCACGCTTTCAGAATGCAGGCAGTGATGTTCTTGGAACAGTGTGTTCCTTCTTAACTTTGGGACAGCCCAGTTGCCGTACCTTTAGACTCCTTGGGCATGGCTGGCATCTGAACTCTAGCTCTCATTTCTGCATTTTTGTCCCGACCGCATCTCTCTTTCCCCTTCCTCTTTGCTCCTGGAGGGGGGGCGCAGGGGCAGGCTGGGCAGTACTATGTATAGCAATTTGACTCCTCCTAATTTGGGGGAAAAGACTTCTTTCCAAAAGAAATTTAAAAGAATACTTTAGGGTGTGTCTTGTGACTTTTTCCGCTTTGAACCAACCTGAGACCCAAACCCAGATGTGACTGTAGAGCGGAAACCGTTGGTACTCAGCGCGGGCGTTCCTTTGTGTTTGTTTGTTTGTTGTTGTTGAATGTATTTGTGAAAGTCACCCCGAAATCCTCTTTTGGCACGAGGCCCATGGTGTGACTTGACGTGGACATCCAGATGCGTATTCCTCAGAGCGAACTGAGTGGGGGCACTGAGGAAATACGGCAGGCGCTATGCTACCAGGAAGATGATGCCGTTTTAAACCGAGTGAGTCAGGCTCTTCCGGTGATCAGCTCGTGCACTTTGGTCCCAGGCAAGAGAAACTCAAGAGTACCTTCAGAAAACCTGCCAACGGAACGATAAGCTTCCAACCCCGAACTGATGGAACCGGACTTTTCAGAACGTTAGCGGTTTTCCTCTGTTACGGGGTGGGTTGGGTGACTCTAAGCACTGCGCCCCTATCTTGGTTACGGTTCGCAACTTGCAATTAAACTCTCAATTTGCTTCTGAGCAATAGAATATTTGCGGATCTATTCAGAGATCAAAAGCCTTACTGGATAGCTTCTATGGGGGATTAGGAAACAGTACGGCATGATCCTATTTTGTAAGGCTCAGCTGTGTGTGTGTGTGCGCGTGCCCGTGCCACGCCACAGAGAACATCTGGAGGTCACAGGGCAGATTTGGGGGGCTGTTTCTCCCCTTCTACCATAATGGGTTCTGGAACTTGAACTCTTATCGGGCACTAGGACCCTTAACACACAGAGCCATCGCTCTGGCCTGCTCCTGGCTTTTGTACATGCTTCTGGGGGGCTGAGCTCTGGCCAAGTGCTGCAAAGGTGAGAAGTTTACCGGCTGAGCATCTCCCATTTTCAATATTTCAATTTTTCTCAAAGTGGGGTAGCATTACTTTATATACCGGGAGCAAAGAAAGACAATTTAAATAACAAAATCAAAGGGTAAGAAAATATATGAACATTCTGTTTTAATAGATTTCCCTGTTACTATCTGGCAAAAAATAGTAACAGGGGAATCTATTGAAACAGAATTATTGGTTTTGATTATGTAATTTCTGTTGTTGATCATGTAAGTTGTTCCAGGTATACACTGTTATGTTATGAGTACTTTTCCTAATTTTCCTAATTTCTGAAAGCAATTGGCAAAGAGTCAACTAAAAGAGTCGAAACAGGGGCTGGAGAGATGGCCCAGTGGTTAAGAGCACTGACTGCTCTTCCAGAGGACCCGGGTTCAATTCCCAGCACCCACATGGCAGCTCACAACTGTCCATAGCTCCAGTTCCCAGGATCTCACACCCTTTCACAGACAGGAGTGCACACAAAACACCAATGCACATAAAATAAAGGTAAATAAAAACTTAAAAAAAGAGTCAAAACAAAATGCTTCAGATGCACAGAAAGTTGCAAAGTTTCCCTTTGATAAATATCCATAATCACAATTAATATGTCTTGTTGATTGTTTTAACTCTTTGCTGTTTTGGGGGGAGGGTGCCACCCAGGTCCCAAATAAATTATACATGAAGGCTTATTTTCTCTTATAAATGCCTGACCTTAGCATGGCTTGTTTCTTGCCAGCTTTTCTTTTCTTTTTTTTTTTTTTTTTTTTTTGAGGGGATGCAGTGAACTTTATTGATGGTATTCAAGAGAGTAGGGCTCCCTAAGCCCCTCCTGCTATCTTGGGGTCTGGGATGGAAACTGTGAGGGAGAGCTCAGTGTCAAGGGTTGAGTTAGGACAGGGACTGCTCAGCAGCCGAGGGCTTCTCTCTTGCTGTGTCCTTGCTGGGGTGGGTGGTCCAGGACGGGCTTCTTACTCCTTGGAGGCCATGTAGGCCATGAGGTCCACCACTCTGTTGCTGTAGCCGAACTCATTGTCGTACCAGGAAATGAGCTTTACAAAGTTGTCATTGAGAGCAATGCCAGCCCCAGCATCAAAGGTGGAAGAGTGGGAGTCACTGTTAAAGTCGCAGGAGACAACCTGGTCCTCAGTGTAGCCCAGGATGCCCTTTAGTGGCCCCTCGGATGCCTGCTTCACCACCTTCTTGATGTCGTCATACTTGGCAGCTTTCTCCAGGCGGCATGTCAGATCCACGACGGACACATTGGGGGTAGGAACACGGAAGGCCATGCCCGTGAGCTTCCCGTTCAGCTCTGGGATGACTTTGCCCACAGCCTTGGCAGCGCCAGTGGATGCAGGGATGATGTTCTGGGCAGCGCCACGGCCGTCTCGCCACAGCTTCCCAGAGGGGCCGTCCACGGTCTTCTGGGTGGCTGTGATGGCATGGACTGTGGTCATGAGTCCTTCCACGATGCCAAAGTTGTCATGGATGACCTTGGCCAAGGGGGCTAAGCAGTTGGTGGTGCAGGAAGCATTGCTGACAATCTTGAGGGAATTGTCATACTTGTCATGGTTCACACCCATCACAAACATGGGGGCATCCGCAGAAGGGGCGGAGATGATGACCCTTTTGGCCCCACCCTTCAAGTGGGCCCCAGCCTTCTCCATGGTGGTGAAGACACCGGTCGATTCCACAACATACTCGGCACCGGCATCACCCCATTTGATGTTGGCGGGATCTCGCTCCTGGAAGATGGTGATGGCCTTCCCGTTGATGACAAGCTTCCCATTCTCAGCCTTAACTGTGCCTTTGAACTTGCCATGGGTGGAGTCATACTGGAACATGTAGACCATGTAGTTGAGGTCGATGAAGGGGTCATTGATGGCAACAACGTCCACTTTGCCAGAAGTGAAGGCAGCCCTGGTAACCAGGCGTCCAATACGGCCAAATCCGTTCACTCCGACCTTCACCATCGTGTCTCTGGAACAAGGCTGGCACTGCGCAAAAAGAAGCGGCTGTCTCTAGAACAGGGAGGAGCAGAGAGCCCTTGCCAGCTTTTCTTAACTTTAGATTATCCCATCTACCCTTTGCCTCTGGGCTTCTGTATGTCTTTTTTTTTTTTTTCCTTCTTACTCCATGTCTGGCTGTTTGGCTATGTGGCTGTCCCCTGGACTCCTCCTCTCCTCCTTTTCTTGTTCCTTGATCTCTTTTCTTTTTCTCCTTCTAGTTATTCTCTCTGCCTGCCAGCCCCACTTATCCTTTCTCCTGCCTAGTTATTGGTTGTTCTGCTCTTTATTCAACCAATCAGGTATTTTTAAATTGATTTTAATTGAGCTCTACATTTTTCTCTGCTTCCCTCCCTGCCTCTTCCCTCCACTTCAGTCCTCTCCCAGGGTCCACATGCTCCCAATTTACTCAGGAGATCTTGTCTTTTTCTACTTTCCATGTAGATTAGATCTATGTAAGTCTCTCTAAGGGTCCTCATTGTTGTCTAGGTTCTCTGGGATTGTGGTTTGTGGGCTGGTTTTCTTTGCTTTATGTTTAAAAACAACTTATGAGTGAGTCCATGTGATAATTGTCTTTCTGAGTCTGGGTTACCTCACTCAAAATGATGTTTTCTAGCTCCATCCATTTGCCTGCAAATTTCAAGATGTCATTATTTTTCTGTTGTGTAGTACTCCATTGTGTAAATGTACCGCATTTTCCTTATCCATTCTTTAGTCGAGGAGCATTTAGGTTGTTTCCAGGTTCTGGCTGTGACAAACAATGCTGCTGTGAACATAGTTGAGCACATGTCCTTGTGGCACGATTGAGCATCCTTTGGATATATACACAAAAATGGTATTGCTGGGTCTTGAGGAAGGTTGTTTCCTAATAGTCTGAGAAATCGCCATACTAATTTCCAAAGGGGCTGTACCGGCTTGCACTCCCACCAGCAATGCAGGAGTGCTCCCTTTACCCCACATCCTCTCCAGCCTAAGTTGTCATCAGTTGAAACACCACTGGTGGATGGGCCATTCACTTGACCCATTTGCCTGCAACGGTTGGAAGGATTCCGGCTTAGCATAAAAATCCACAGCCATGTTCAGCACCGTAGTTTGAAGATCTTGTAACGCTCTGTGCAGAATTTTCATCTCTTGTTTAATTCGGATGCCACAAACGTCACATAGGATCCACACCAAACTTTGTCTCCGGTTCCACGTTCATGCCAACTAAATGTCCCCGGGTAGCCGTTCAGTTTTGTCTCAAACAATCCTTGACATTTCTCTAAGCGATCTGTTCCAAATCTGAGCCACTTGCAGAGACGGTTTCCAGCAGGGAAAGCTATTTTTAGACGTCGAAGGCAGAGCAGCCCATTCCCAGGAAGTGCTCTGGCTCACTTGGGTGCACATAGCTCCTCTTTTCCCAAGGGCGTTCCTCTTTGGCCTGAGATGGGCCTAGAAATTCTAGATCCCGAGCCAGAGGCCTGGCGAGTTTAAGAGAGGGCAATTGTGGGCCTTGAGGAGGGCAGCCAGCTGGGAAACAGTTGCTTTATCCTGAGAGAGGCAGGGCAGTTGCTGCCATCCCTTTGTTGTTGGAAACTCTGAGGTATCTTGGCGCGCCTCTGGCCACCAAGTCATATTGCCACCCGCTGGAGGATGAAGTCGACCATGGGGGAGAAATCAGAGCTGGGGGACAATAAATTCCTGTATTGAAGCTCTCGTGAGTCATCTGTAGCTAGCCGCGTGCTGGCTCATAGCAAGTCCGCCCCCAAGTTTGTGTCGTTCTCCTGTCAAGTGTTCTGCCAGTCACCAAGTTCTAGGAACAGGCGGGGCTAGCCCCCTCGTTCTAGGAAACACATTTAGGTGATTAGCAAATCAGGCAGATTAGAAACCACAAGTGAGAAGCAGAGAAAGGAACAGGAAGCCAGAAAGCCAGAAACTGGAGTGCAAGGGGCACCGCCGGGGACAGCAGTCCTTCGGATCTGTAACCCTTGTGGGTGGCCTCGCGTAGTCCAAGGGCGCATGCGCGGTGAGAGCTGTCTCGTTTAGAAGCGGGATGAGGTTGAATAACGTTTAATAGTATAGCTTCGGAAATAAGGAGGACGAACGATTATGAGGATAGACTTTTCTGGAAAGACGCACAGAAAACAAACTTCCTTCCCAGAGAAGTTGAGTGAGTGCTGTGTTTATGTGCTACATTAAAATATAGCTTCACCCAGAGAAGAGAGGCCTGCTTGTTCCAGAAAGCAGCTCATTTCAGAGTCCCTATGATAAAGCCCGACAGGAAGCAAATCTGGTGAATGAGGACGTGGTGTTGTGCTTCTGCAAGGCATCCTGCTTTGGTTCAGTGGCTTGGCGTGGCAAGGCACCCTAAGCTGCTGCTTCCTCCAAAGCTGCCCGTAGGAAGAAAATAAGCGGTTTGACGGAGTAGAAGGGAGTTGAGCGCTGCTAATTAAAATGTAAATACTTCCCAGAGCCAACAGCTTGTAGAAAAGAAAAAAAAATGATTGGAAAGATGGCCCGCAGTAAAACTCCACCAGGCAAAATAGATTCTAAGTCTGCATAAGACCTGAGCCGATCTGTTGATGTAATCAACTCACTGAGAAGTTACTCATATCAAGTCATCCGAAGCCACGCGCAGGAAAACAGGTGGCTGCTGAGGGCCCTGATTAACACTGAGGACTGTGGACTGCCTGTTTACCAGGTGACGGGGCCTCGGTGGCTCAAAATGCACGAACAAGATGTGGGAGGGGCTTTCTGTAACGAGCTGGTCCCTCTGTGATCTCACAGGCCGCTCCTGAACCTAACAGGCTGGGCAGGCGTCTCTGCTGGCCCTGCATCTCAGCTGCCTTGCCCCGGTCCTTTGAAGGCTCAAGTCCCCCGTGCCCATCAGTGCGATAAAGTGCAACTTAAGGTACATACTGAAGGTGACAACATTGCTAATTGCTAGCCATATGTGTTCTATCCACAACAACATGTGAGTACATGGTATACTAACATGAGTGCCACAAGGGAAGCCTTTAGACGGTGAAGTCATTTTTGCGAAGCCTGGCACTTTTAGATTAGCCATCTCCCGTGGCATTTTCTCCTTCATACTAGAGACTTGGTTACTGCCCTGTGTCACTAGTAAGTCACTGCTAACATTATGTTGGTGTTGTCCTAGGCACTGTGATTTCATTGTTACACCGTGGATAAAATTATTATTATTATTATTATTATTATTGCCTGGTTTTGGGGGTAGGATTTTGCTGTGTAGCTCTGCCTCTCAGTTTGTAGCTCAGACTGACCTTGATCAGATTGACCTTGAAGTTGTGCAACCTCTTCTTGCCTCCGCCAGGCAAACTCTGGAATTACAGGGGGCAGCCACTATCCCCAACTGTGAATACAGTTAGTCAGCCTGTTTTACAGACAGAGAACCTGAAGTTTCGAGATAATATTTGCTTGGGGACACAGGCTGAGGGAATCGCACGGGTTACCAGTTCAACGTAGACTCAAATTCTCGTTGATTTCCATGGTGAAAGTGGTGATCCTTTCCATGGTTCCTGACAACCGTCACGCTGAGGTCTTCTGTGACGGTCCTCCTGTTCGTCAAGGGCCTTGAGACACAGCTGCATTCTGATATGTTGTTTTGAGGAAGAAGAAGGTAAGGGTCACTAAGAAAGACGGTGGGATGCTCATGATGTGTGTCAGTCTTGTCTGGATTAGAAGACAGTATAATAGAGCCTATATAAGACAGTATATAGAAGCCTATAGTAGAGGCTTGTTAATAGCACCCTTCTTGAGCTGAGTTAGTCCAGAGCTTAAATATACAATCTAGATCAACTTCACTTGTTCCTCTGCTCATTCTCCTGATGCTTGGTTTATATTTTAGCTTGATGGAGACAACCAATCCGAACTTTTTGGCAGCCTCTCGCCATTGACCATGGCAGTTCTGTTCAGTGACATTATGACATCTGGACCAGATGATGTCTCCAGCCTGTTGTGCGTGGTGGGTGTCACCTCCTTGTGTTCATACAGACTTTCTGTGTAAGCCCCACTTTCCTGCTGGATTTCCCGGTTGGCTTCACAAGGTGTGGAATCTACACGGGACCTACCTGCATGACCTTCAGGAGGCCCAGGCCCACACACTCACACTCATGCTTCACGGTTCTGTTTTCTACTGTTGGAGACACCCCCCTGTGTAACATGTATGTTCATACACAACGCACATGTTATTATATGTAATTACATGCTTATGTTCTCATAATCCATGATCGCTGTGGAAACTATTAAATAGCAAGAAATCTGAAAATTCACGGAAAAGTTGGACGCCAGCTTAGTTTGCTTCTACCGTCAAAACCCTATCTGGCCAGGGCTCTGCTCTCAAAGAGTACTAAGCCACTACAGACAGCTCCCAGCTTAGGTCACGTGTGCACCATTTCCATCTGTGATGGTGGGAGAGCAGTGTTCATTCAGCAGAAATAAGGCTTTGAATTTTGATTATTTTCCTTCTTGAGACAAGGTCTCATGTACCCAAGATGGCCTCGAACTCACTTAGCTAATAGTGACCTCGAGCTCCTGAGCCTCCTGCCTCTGCCTCCTTAGTGCTGGGATTGCAGGCTTGTGCCACCAGCTTGGTCTAAATCGTGCTGGGTATGGAACCCAGGACATTGGGGATGCTATGCCAGCCCTTCAACAATCAAGTGAAGCCCTCAAGCTTTCAGATTTGAATTTGGAGCTCGACAATCTGTCAGTCAATACTGTTTGCTGATGCTCAGCATCAGCCACGGAGCCGCAAAGGCTCGCACCGGCTCCGAAGCTGTGGATTGGCTAAATTTGATGCCTTAATGCATTTTTGACTTCTGCCAATTTCAGTTCACGACAAAACCATTGTGATACAACCTATCAGAAGCTGGGAAGCATCTGCTCTGTCTCGCATCTTTCAGCCACCCGCTGACTTCCCTTTGAACCGACTGCATAGACATTATGGGTTGCGAGCATTTATTTTTATTTTGTGGTTTGTGGGTGGATTTTGTACCTGCCTTGGTGTGTATGCCATCTATGGATTTCCCCCCACTTGCTTTGGTTCTTCTGTTTCTATGAAAAAATTCAGAAAGATTCAAAAGCTAGGTTTCAGCTTCCTTATCTTCCCAGTCTTCTGATTTGAGCAACAAGTTAAAAAGTGATCCCAGAACAAGACAAACATCATCTTTAACTGGCCTGAGAAATACTATTGTCTAGAAGGCAATCGCTGAGAACCTTGGCTGTACCTTAGAAACACCCTGCTTCTGCAACTCAGCCGATTTCTGGGTCTCCATGGCCAAGAGCTTGTGAGTTAATTGTTCTTGGGCCTTGCGCTCCCGGACGGTTGTAATGTGTAGCCAAGCTTGATAATTGCTAATGTGAAGACGCAAACATTTGGTGAAGCCTTTCTACCATCTGTCCATTCTGCACACAGATATGGCCCCTCCCCCTGTCACGATTACTCCCGTGCGGCTCAGGTGAGGCTGACTCACTCCTGGCAGCAGGGGTTGTCAAGGCATCAGAAACACAACAGAGCAGGTGCTCCAGTTCTCCCTAAGGACAAAGACAGAGCCAGCTGAACCAGTGAAAAAAAGTCCCCATGAGATTTGGAAGAACTGTCATAAAAGAGACCATTTTCCCCCACAACCTTCCAGAGCTTCATAAGTTTACCAGACATGGTAAATCGATGTTAGGAAGAGATTTAGAGATGGGAACGTTGCTGAGAAACAGAACTAGTAGAAGGTACCCTGGCGACACTGTTGATGACTATCTTTGTTAAAGCAGAGTTTTTCTGCCTAGCGCGGGCTGGCCTTGAACTCATGGCAGTTCCCTTGCCTCAGCCTCCCAAGGACTAGGCTTATAGGGAGGCGTGGACCACCATAGCTAGCTTGGTGATGAACTTTTTAGGAATTTAAAATCCAGGACTTCGTTTCATCTAACTACAGAACAACTAAGAAGCTCACACTTTGGGGCGGCTTCTCAAAACAGGTCTCTACTTTTGGCGAGGGTATGTGGTTGATGGCCATCCACTGGTACGGCTGGAATCTCTGAATCAGTCTGTGCTCAACAGCAGAGAACAAGACAGGAGAGCCACCTGGAAGGTGGGCAGTGGGGACGCTGCCCTGGACAAGCTACACGTTGCCATATGCCAGTCACCTTCCCAGATGCCCTAGGCAAGTGGCTTCCTTCCAGCTGTGACTCACGGTTGGGTGAGCCAAGCTACTGTCTCTGAGCCCCCACTTACCTTGTCAGCAACAACAACACCTACAGACCCAGGTTATTGCCCTTGTTCTGTGGGGAAAGGAATGGGACATGGACTCTGAGCTCTCTCTTCATGATAGGTCTCCACAGGAGAAGCCTGGACATAATAGGCAATAATCGATCTTCATCTGCCCTAGGCCCAGATGTGTTCCTAGAGTTCCCAGTGATGACCAAATACACTTTCTTTTTCTGTTATTGTTTATACTTTTGTTATTTATACCCTTAAATCTCGAGTAACACATTTTTTTTCTTGTGTTTAATCAAATTACTGGCAAGAAACATGTTGCGGAGTGAGTACTGGAAATTACCTTTTATTTACTTATTTTTCCTGGCTGTTTGGACTTTGAGTGTGTGTTAGACTTGGCAGGCTGGATCCAGAGCTGACTGACTTCTGGGAATCCTCCTATCGTGGCCTTATCCACAGGGCCATGTCTGTCCCATCAGCCTTCCCTGTGATTCACTGACATTGATTCTCGTGTACACTGCCACTCCTTGGGGCTCCTCCACAGCCAACACCTTTTGCAAACAGCCCCTTGTTTAACCTTCCTTAGGCTGTCTTATTCTTAAACCCTGAATGCAACCTCCCTTCCCATTATCCCAACTGGTAGCAGATTAATCATTCTTCTGGGGACATCCAGGGACATAGTAGATTCTTTTTTTATTATTATTTATTTTTTTCTTTCTCTGCTCTTCTAAAGAATCTTTTTTTTTAAAGATTTATTTATTTTGTATATAGTGTTCTGCCTGCATGTCTGCCTGCACACCAGAAGAGGACACCGGATCTCATTATAGAAGGTTGTGAGCCACCAGGTGGTTGCTGAGAATTGAACTCAGGACCCCTGGAAGAGCAGCCAGTGCTCTTAACCTCTAAGCCATCTCTCCAGCCCCAACCCTAATTTGTAGATTCTTACAGACAGTAAAATGCTCTCCGAAGGACCGAAATGCTCTCTTCTAGTTATAGCTACTGCACGCAAGTCAAAACATTTCGACATACTGCCTGAGAGTCCCACCCCTAAACGGGAACAATATTTATACACTGAAGAGAAATTAAATTCAAAACAAACACGAAACTCGTTTCCCGAGTCACTCGTCAAGTATAATATAACGTGAACATCTAGAGGTGAAGAGCTATTTGCTCACTGCAGAGTTCTTTAACCGGTGAAAAGATGTTAAAATTATCCCTTCGTCAATGTAAGCTACAGATAAGATTTCAAAGTAGCAAGAACAAAAAGTTTAAGAATAAAATTTGGGGACAGGTAGAGCATGTGTTTTGAAAGCGTCTTGCTTCTTTTCTATGCTTTATTCTCTGACAATGGTGAGAAATGCGAGCCTGTTTTTTCTCATTGTCAATCCCCTCATTCCAATCAGCAGTAAAGCAGGGCAGGGTTACCTTGCTTGAAGCTGCTCTTTGTGGACCTGTTAATTGGTCCTGATGCGGTGGTGCGTTTAGTTACACACTGTGAATGCATTTACAACTCTGGCTCGCTCCCCTAGGGACCACTGAGGAGCACCATGGGAAAAAAGATGTACCCATCGATGATGGTACAAAAGGGCATCAACTGTGTGTGGCTGACTTAAACTTAAAACGTGCTTGGCACAAACGAGGAACTGCATAGCTAACTGAAAGCCTAGCGAAGATGAATGGATGTAATAAAGGTAGCAGGGCTGTATCTTTGAGGGAAGGTTCTTTGAGGTGCCCCCTTGGCTGGGAGGCAGAGGCAGGGGGAGCACAGCAGAGGCAGGGGGAGCACAGCAGCCGCCAGCGCATGGCTCTTGGTAGGACTCAGGACTGGAAACTTACTAACTTCTCCGGGCTTTGGTTTCTGTGTCTGTGAAACCGGGAGAGGGGGAAAAAAATCTGTACTCCACAGGACTGTAGGGAGAGTTGAGGAAGTTACTGCAGGTGACATGTTTAGACGGGTGTGGCCAATTACAAGCCTTTGCTGTAGATTTATTCACTATTTGCACTGTTTCTTATAAAGGCCCCGTTATTCTAATCGTGGTATCAGAGAGGATGGTGGCTTACTTCGTGCCATGCTGTGCGTGACTGGATCCCTAGGCCGATGGGTCTTTTGGCTCGTGCGTTTTGTCGTTAAGAAAGCAGTGATGTCTGTTCTGACCTGCAGAGGCATTCTGGGTTCGTCTGAAAGAATAAATGGGAAAAATTTTAAAAAGGGGACATATAGGGGCTGGAGAGATGGCTCAGTGGTTAAGAACATTGCCTGCTCTTCGAAAGGTCCTGAGTTCAATTCCCAGCAACCACATGGTGGCTCACAACCATCTGTAATGAGATCTGGTGCCCTCCTCTGGTCTGCAGGCATACACGCAGACAGAATATTGTATACATAATAAATAAATAAATATTTTTTTAAAAAAGGGGGGACATATAAAATGGGAGATGGTCATGCATGATTGTATAAACAATGCCAAGGCTTCTGGGAAAGTGGAAGGTAATTAGGGTGGTGGTGGTGTTCGTTATTCTGATTGTGGGATTTATTGTGCTACTGGGATCCTAGTCAAAGTTATTAAAACTTTACCCTTAAAAAGGTGTAATTTAGGTGTGAAATTATACTACAGTAAAACTCGCGGACAAAGGGTAACAGTAACTAAAAGAGTAGATAACTAAGTAGGTATGTATATGAACAAAACAAAGAGCGTGTTTGCTTTAACAACAGTGGCAGCTGGGTAGTCATTTAACCCAGACCTCACAATCCCAGTCCTCAGCATACAGCCAGAAATGAACATGTGTCCCTGGCAACATCAGGTAAAGGATATTCCTGCCTGCTTCATTCATAATGGCTCCAAATTACAGAGAACCCCAGGTTCCGTTGACGATAGAATGGGTAGACAAAGCTTACAGTATTTAAACAATGGAAAAACCATAATTGCTGAAGGATGAGGCAGGAGCATTACTGAGACTTTGAGTAGGCCTCCTTCTCAAAAAAAGAAAAAGAAAGAGAAAGGAAGGGAG